CCGTGGCTTTGGCTACCCTCAACGCTTCATCACAGACACATCTTTAATGGTGTGATTAAAAACAAGCCTGATTGTCGGAGGCGTTATGTCGTGATTTTAGGAGAATCAGGTTCTTTTGGCAGAACCATTATGGCCGCAACCGTGTATTGCGCCATCGTGGAGAAGGCATATTATCAGCGTTCATAATTCGACATCGTCACACTGGCCCATCTCTTGGAACGATGGTATGAGATTCCATTGGATAAACATCTCGGTTACCTCTTCTATCATTTTGAACATTTACCCCCCCCCCCCCCCCCATTACATTTCTTATATTTGTTGGTGTGGCTTATGGAAAGGCCGCTGATAAGATTATTATTGATTTTATAATTTAAATTAATTTATTTGAAGCCAGAAATATATAAAGAGAAAAGGCCGTTGGAGGCTGAGATAAGAGGATGCCAGCGGGCGACGCTGGCCTGGGACGCTGGGAATTCTGCGAGAAGCGGCGGCTGGCCAGCCGGCCTGCGCGCGCACTTTTCGAACACCGCCTGATGTCGCCGGCTGTTTACCGCGCGTCGCTACAACCTGCGGCGGTTCCTTCCATTATATAATACTCTAGGCGCTGGTGGAGTAAAAACTGTACTCCACCTGCCTCTTATAATTGTATGTAATTTTTGGACACTTATTAAAATATAAATTATTAATTTATAGTTCTCACTGCAGCTCGAACCTTTACCCTAACGCGGTAGAACATGGCGCAGTCGACATTCGGTTAATTATAGCCGTTTTTTAAGTGACAGCTCAGTGACAATTAGTAATCAAGATGCCCTCAAGAAGGAATCGCCGACCATCCCAAACCCCTCCAGAGAACCCTGCCTCGCCGACCAGCACCGACATCCTCAGGTCCATGGCCGCACTGTTGCAGCAGATGGCTACTCGGAATCCGACACCGACAGTCCCATTAGGAGCTCCTCCTCACCACGCCACAAAAATCATCCAGCTTCCTAAACTGGCTTCCCCGGAGGAGTTAACGATGTCTTTTTTCCGCGATTGGAAACAACGTTGGAACGACTACGTGGACGCCCAACAAGTAGCCACCTTCCCGCTATCCACACAGCAAGTGACTTTGCGTGCCGCCCTCCATTCCGAATGGACCATCCTTTGGCAATCAGGCCGCCTTCATATTTCTACCACCACCACCCTCGATGAAGCCGTGAATGCTCTCGAGGCCTACCTACGCAAGAAGCGAAACCCCCTCCTTGATCGGCAAGATTTTCATCGTAGGGACCAACAAACCGGAGAATCGGTGGATCGCTACTTCGCAGCCCTTAAAGCTCTTGATGACTCGTGTGCACATGAGCTGGATTTTAAGTGCAGCACATGCGGCGACCCGTGTATTACAATATGCACAAAAAGAGCTTGTGGGAAAACGTTTGCCCTTGCTGGTTATCAACAGCAACTCCGTATCCGTGACAGGTTAATATGTGGCCTGTTTGATAAAGACCTCCAACGAAAAGTACTGGCGGAGCAGTACAATTCCGACCTCTCCCTGGACCGAGTCCTCTCAATTTGCATCGCACATGAGAGTGCTACCGCCGTGGGCGCGACTCTTTCACCCTCCCCAACCACCTCCCCCGAAGCCTTCATTGCAACCAGACGTGCACCATCAACCTACAAGCATCAACAAGCCAGCTCGTCTGAAACCTCACCTAAGGCCAACCGTTTCTTTCAGAAACCCTATGATCCTAATGACCCCTGCTCCGGATGTGGGGCGAACCCAAGACACCGCCGTGACCAGTGCCCAGCAAAAGACATAGAGTGTAACAAATGCGGCATCACCGGGCATTACGGAAGGGTTTGCCGACAACTGAAACGGAAACCCACAACCAAACCTAATATCCCGCCACCCGCAACCAGAAACAATCAGTCCCAACCAGGACCCTCAAACACAGTTGTTGCAGCTGGAGTACGCAACGAACTCATAACCATTACGACCGATATCAACCATAAGTTACACCAAATCCGTTGGCTGGCGGACCCGGGGTCAGATCTGGATCTAATCCCAGAATCAGAATTCCTGTTACTGGATGAGCAGACCCGATCAGCACTCAACCCGAAGAACGTCCCTTGCGTAGGAGCCAACGGCATCAGCTTAAGTCCTTGTGGATCGTTCGTCGCGGCACTGCATCTCAACGGGAAAACATACAGTACTACCGTTGGAGTCTGCAAGCACTTGAACGCCCCTCTCTTGAGCAAGAGCGGATGCAAAGCCTTAGGACTTCTGCCGGATAACTGGCCCCATTCAATGATCGTCAATGCCATAACCAACGGACAAGTTCTAACGTTCCCGCCGACCCCGGTGAGAGCCAATTAGATCGATAAGCAGTCTATCCTTACCCATTATGCTAGAGCGTTCGACGACACAGTGTTAAAACCCATGCAAGGACCCCCCATGTCTATCGAACTAGTTAAAGATGCCGTTCCTTGCAAACGCTACCGGGCATACAACGTTCCCTTTTACTGGAGAGACCCCGTCAAAACTCAACTCGATACCATGTTGGCGAAAGGGATAATCGAACAGGTACCCGTCGGCGAATCCATCGATTGGTGCCATCCTATGGTAGTCGTCCCGAAAAAAGGCTCATCAGAACCGCGCGTAACCGTGGACCTCACCGGACTCAACAAATACGTCCGACGACCCGCCTATCCAGTCAGGGTACCCCGCGAGGTTGTTGCTCGCATCCCACCAGGCATGCAGTTTTTCAGCACGCTAGATGCCCGTCACGGTTATTGGCAAGTCCCCCTCGATGAAAAGAGTAAAAAACTAACCACCTTCATCACACCATGGGGAAGTTACCGCTATTGTCGCAACGTGATGGGATTGTGTTCCGCCGGAGACGAGCACAACCGTCGTGGAGACGAAGCCCTATTTGGAATACAGAACGTAGAAAAAGTGGTAGAGGACATCATTATCTTCGATTCAGACTACAAAACACACGTCCAACGTTTTCGACAGGTCATTTCCCGGTGTCAGGAACATGGAATCACCCTCAACCAGAAGAAGTTCGTATTCGCTAAGCCAGAAGTCGACTGGTGCGGCTTCCGTATAAATTCTTCCGGTTACACACCTTCTCCACATTTGTACTCCGCTCTAAAGAATTTCCCGATACCAACCAACAAGACCGACGTGCGTTCCTTTAACGGCCTTGTTCAACAGTTTGAGGCCTTTTCCCATCATCTAACCGAGCTATCCGCGCCAATCCGATCACTTTTGTCAGCCAAAGCCGCCTTCGTTTGGGAGGACCCCCACCAGCGAGCTTTTGACGCAGTCATTCAAGAACTCTGCAGCTCACGCATCCTAGCACAGTTCTCCCCAGGACAACCCCTCCGCCTAGAAACGGACGCAGCACAGACCCAGGGACTAGGATATGCCCTTTATCAACAACAACCTGATAGTCAATGGAGACTTCTCCAGGTAGGATCCCGCAATGTGACTCCTGCAGAGTCCCGGTATAGCGCCACGGAAATTGAGTTATTAGCTGTCGTGTGGGCAGCCAAGAAATGCAAGTTATTTCTTATGGGATCTCATTTCGAACTTATAGTCGACCACCGTCCCCTTATTCCCATACTGAACTCCAAAACTCTGGACGAGATAGAAAACCCAAGGCTCCTCCGGCTAAAGGAAAAGCTGACTCCGTACCTCATTACGGCAGTTTGGCGTCCGGGAAAGAAACATACCGTTGTCGACGTGCTCTCTCGCCACCCATCCCCAGTTCCCGACGTTTACGATACCGATGTTCATCCTGATTCTGATCCCGCACCTCTCATTGCCTCTGCAGTAGTAGACCCGGTCGACGGATCCAGGGTAATGGAGGATTCGTTAATACGACAAATCAGAGCATGATGGAGAGTACAAACGTATACGCAATATCATCCCTCAAAAGATTCAACGTAAAGAAGACCTCGACGAAGATCTTCGCCCCTACTGGAGAGTATTGCACCAACTAAGCCTACGCGAAGAACTCGTTTTCTTAGGCTCTCGCCTACTCATCCCAACATCATTACGCTCAGAAGTGCTAAAAATACTCCATGCTTCGCATCAAGGCCAAGACCGGACTCTTCGACGCGCTGGCCAATCTGTCTTTTGGCCGAGCATCACTAATGACATCCGGAACGTAGTAAAAACGTGTGCCGAGTGTTCAGCCTATCTACCCTCGCAACAGAAAGAACCACTCTATTCCGACCCACCGCCTAGCTACCCATTTCAACATGTTTCCTGCGACCTTTTTTCGCACGCTGGATACCAATATCTCGTTATGGTCGACCGCTTTTCAGGTTGGATCAACGTGACGCAATGTGGCAGAGCACCCACGTCCACCACGGTCATCCGTCACCTTCAAAAGTGGATGGCAGATTACGGCATCCCAGAGATACTCACATCCGACAATGGTCCCCAATTCTCCTCTCAAGAGTTTCGGAGTTGGACAAAGCGTTGGAACATCGAGCACTCCACCTCATCTCCACACTTTCCTCAATCAAATGGACTTGCCGAAGCGGCCGTAAAAGCGATAAAGTACCTAATCAGCAAGACTTGTTGTTGACGACGCGCGTGGCCAAAAAAGTCCCGGATACCGCCCGCGCGCATGCGTAATGTTTTCTCCCAGCTCGCGCTTGCCGAGGCATAGTGAGGTCGCCACACTACTGTCCGTATGTGTATTTAAGCTTTGTCCGCGCTCGCTGATGCAAAGTGTAGTCGTCACATATACGAGGGCCATCCAATAAATAAGTTTCCCTATTTTTTTTTAACAAATAAACCACATTATTTACAATTATTTAAAATACAATATAACGCGGCTGATTATTGTAAAACGAAAATTGCAATTATACCGCGAATGTTTCTTTTAAACAAAAATCGAATTTTTATTTTAAAGAGAAATAACGACTATTTCTAACTTTAAGGATGAAGTATGAAAAGGGTGAAAAATATGAAGAGTAATGGCGAACGGAAAAATAAAAGTGTCCAGGCGCGGGAATCGAACCCACGACCTTCCGCTTACCGGGCAGATGCCATGTCCACTAGGCTACCCTGGATATATCCTTCCGTTCGTAAATATTATATAAAGTAATTTAAAATACAATATAACGCGGCTGATGATTGTAAAACGAAAATTGCAATTATACCGCGAATGTTTCTTTTAAACAAAAATCGAATTTTTATTTTAAAGAGAAATAACGACTATTTCTAACTTTAAGGATGAAGTATGAAAAGGGTGAAAAATATGAAGAGTAATGGCGAACGGAAAAATAAAAGTGTCCAGGGGCGGGAATCGGTAAGCGGAAGGTCGTGGGTTCGATTCCCGCCCCTGGACACTTTTATTTTTCCGTTCGCCATTACTCTCCATATTTTCACTCTTTTCATACTTCATCCTTAAAGTTAGAAATAGTCGTTATTTCTCTTTAAAATAAAAATTCGATTTTTGTTTAAAAGAAACTTTCGCGGTATAATTGCAATTTTCGTTTTACAATCATCAGCCGCGTTATATTGTATTTTAAATTACTTTATATAATATTTACGAACGGAAGGATATGTCCAGGGTAGCCTAGTGGACATGGCATCTGCCCGGTAAGCGGAAGGTCGTGGGTTCGATTCCCGCCCCTGGACACTTTTATTTTTCCGTTCGCCATTACTCTTCATATTTTTCACCCACTTCATCCTTAAAGTTAGAAATAGTCGTTATTTCTCTTTAAAATAAAAATTCGATTTTTGTTTAAAAGAAACATTCGCGGTATAATTGCAATTTTCGTTTTATATACAATTATGCAGTTATTTTTTATTTTCATTATACAACTCATAGACTACCTCTCTACATAATCACCATTTCTGTCCAAACATTTTTGGTACCGTTGTAGCAATTTTTAGATACCACTGTTGTACCAAGCCGTGTCCTGTCTTCGTAGCCAGTGGTTCGCCTCCGCCTGCACTTCGTCATCATTCGCAAAGTGCTTGCGTCCAAGGTGCCACTTGAGTGCTGGATAAAGATGGAATTCGCTTGGGGCAAGTTCCGGAGAATAAGGTGGATGTGTGAAAATTTCCCATTTGAAGTTTTCCATAGCCATAACTTTGCCTGCAGAGATTGTGACCTTCGCCTTTTTTGGTGCACTTTCCTCAGGCTTCTTCCACACCATGCTTTGTCGTTTTGTTTCTGGAGTTGAATGATGCACCCAGCTTTCATCTCCAGTGACAATACGGGAAAACAGTTGATCTCCATCTCTTTGATGCATTTCCAGGAAAGCTCGGGCTGCCTCCATCCGTTGTTGCTTGTGATTTTCCAAGAGCAAACGCGGGACCCATCTTGCGCAGACTTTGCGAAAATTCAAAACATCTGACATGATTGTTCCGATCGAAGAGCGTCCATTCATTCGAATCATTATTTCGTCAATGGTGACGCGGCGATCTGCTTCCACCACATTCCGAACAGCAGCAACGGCTGCATTGTCCGTAGCAGTAACGGGCCTGCCGCTTCGCTCGTCATCATGCACGTTTTGCCGTCCTTCTAAGAACCATGAACGTCATCGGCGAACCATTTGGATGCTCATACATTCTTCATCATACACTGACACTGAATTGCGATAAATATTGACCGCAGTTTAATTTTTCGACGTGAAAAAAACGAATTACAGAACCGAGTTCGCAAGTGGACACGTTCACCAGTGGTAGCTCCATGGAAACTAAAGCGCTACGGACTTGTGCGTACGAGTAGCGTGATTTTGAAGGTCACCAGCTTCCAACGCATTCTAGTGACCATTTCTTCTATACTAACTAATTTTTACAACGTTTCGTTCGCAGAAAAAAAAATAGGGAAATTTATTTATTGGATGGCCCTCGTATATTAAGGCCTTGGCAATACCTTTTATGCAAGGTCTGGGAAACACTATGTTTCAACAGAATAATACACGACCGCATGTTACTGACATTGTAGGGACCTTCCGAATTACAGAAAATGTTCAGTTGCTTTCCAGGTCAGCAGGTTTTTCTCATTTGTTACCAATAGGAAACATTTGATAAATAGTAGCGATTGGCCAGTCACTACTGTCTATGACTATGATATCATGTTGAAGATGCATTGAAAGCTGTACCTGTAAATGTCATACAATCTCTGTTTGGCTCAATATCCTGTCGAAAAAGTGCTGTTTTGTTGCCAGAGGTGGTTCTCCTGTGTACTATTTATTAGATTCCACACCTCAAAATTCCTTGAAATTTTTACCACCTGTTTTATTAACAATTTAATATGACTATCCAATAAATATTATTTCGAGTTAAAGGTCTAATAATTGAATATATTTATAATGCCACGTGGAAAATTAGGGAAGACAAGCTTCGAATTGAGACAAAAATTTATTTCAGGTAAGAACAAACTATGAGTGATAAACAAAAGATAAGTAAAAGAGGGAAGTGTACAGAGTATAGCAAAATATAAATATAAAAATAATACTCTGCTAAAATAATAAATACTTGTTTACATATCTCCTTCCCTATGGGAGCTGTGACCCACAGCTAGCAACGTGCTTCTGCCAAGGTTTCTATCGAAGTCTTGGAACTTTGTCCCTAGTACATTTGCGTCCTTTTTAAGGTCTTCTCGGCGATCTTCAGTTTGTCTTCCCTAACTTACCCAGCATCTCCACCAAAATGCCACGTGGAAAATTAGGGAAGACCAACTTCGGAATGAGACAACAATTCATTTCAGGCAAGGACAAACTAAGAATGGTAAACAAAAGATAAGCCACGAGGGAAATTTACAGAGTAGTAAAATATAAACATAAAAATGACCACTCTGATAATAAAAATAATAAAAATCAATGAATACTTTGTAATATAGCTTCTTCCCTATGGGAGCTGTGACCCACAGCTAGCAATTATTATAGATACTGACATGGATCTGACGTGCTTCTGCCAAGGATTCCATCGAAGTCTTGGAACTTTGTCCCTAGTACCATTGCGTCATTTTTCTTGTGGCGTGAAGAACGGCTTTATCGTCTTATCGTCTAGAGGGACATCGTCTTTTCGAGGGAAGTCTTGGCTTTAGCACTGCGGTGGAATCCTGGAGTCAGTCTCCGAAAATGTATTTCACAGCACCCATGACTTCAAGGTCCTCTCGGCGAGCTTCAGTTTGTCTTCCCTAACTTACCCAGCATCTCCACCATAATGCCACGTGGAAAATTATAGAAGACAAACTTCGGTATGAGACAAAATATTATTTCAGGCAAGAACAAACTATGAATGATAAACAAAAGATAAGCAAAAGAGGGAAGTGTACAAAGTATAACAAAATATAAACATAAAAAAGAATAATCTGCTAAAATAATAAATACTTTGTTACAATATATAAAACCAGGCGTACCTGTTTCTGCGAAAAAAAAAAAATATTTTCTTAAAAAAATTTCAAGGGACAGTTTCTTTATTATCCCCTTTATTAAATGTAATTTACAAATTCCTATAGACCAAATTCCCATTTGATATAAAATAATTTGTGAATTATATTTAAGCCTTTTGGCAACGTTTTTTAATATGTAAAATATGATTTATTTATTTGTATTTCTTCCTGTTGCAACAATTTCAATGGCCAGTAGTGCATGTATATGAGGCCTTAGAACATCATCTGTTATAGGAAATTTAAGCTATTTTTAACGTGAATGTTTATTTTTCGAAATAATGCAATTATTTTCTACCCTTTCTGAAGTGGTAAAATAATTAAACTGGCGAAACCGCTGGGAGGATGTGCCACTATTGAGCTAGGACCTCTCATTATTTTATCGTTGCAGTAAGTGAAGTAGAAAATAGTTATAGTTTTTTTTTAAGAAAAATACTTGCGTCAAAAATATTTTACGTTATTATAGTTGCATATGTATATAAGGATAATCCGATATAAGCATAGTCTAAAGGACTATGGTCTGATATTAAAGTACTGATGAGAAATATGCAAATTACTTATCACAAACGTTTTTCGAAGATATATATTCTGCTATATCATATAATATAGTTACATGGGAGAGGTACAGCTACTGATACATATATATTACATATATATTCAATATTCAATTTACGAATATTTTTTGCTAATTTTTTCAACCTGTAACCACGATAAATTAAGGATACCGAGTTTGAAAATCGTAACTATAGGTTTAGATGAAGGGCAAGACTTGAAAATTCCTGATGAAATATATTTCAATTGAGGTTATGAAATTAAAAACGCCTTTACACTGATAAGGGTTATAGCCCGAAACCATGGTATAAGGGTTGTTGGCCTTTTTATAAATTTTCCAAAATTGGTGTTGTGGCTTATTCTTCTTCACCACTTTAAAATATTTTACTAGGGTGCTCAACCCAAATGTATTATTACAATGCTTTTTAAAGAAGTGCCTCTTTTAGTACATATATGTATTTGAAAAAAAAAAGCCATATCCCAAGCATTTTGGAAGGCAGAGATATATCTAGAGGAATTAAAAAAATCAACTAGACATTAATATTGGCTATTCCATAATATTTGCTCAATCCATTTTCTCAATTAATCAAGAAATTCCAAACACTACGCGTTTCACGGTGTTGACCCTTATCAGCATGGTGCATGAAGAGCCTCTGTGACCAAAGATATGCTCCAAGAAGCTTCCCAATGAATCAGAAATATATATGTATAAATATACAACATAAAGTTTCAGGAGGAATATATTTATGTCCCAAAATAGACACCTTCCCTTTAATTGTGCATCAGAACGATGCATGCTGCATAACCTTAGTAAAATATATACTAGGGATGATAAAGAATGAGCCAAATGAGCCGTGCATTAATGATGAAATATCTTATTGATAAGTGCCCTGTCCTAAAAATACACGACCTCCTACACCCGAAAAAAAAACTAGCCCAGGGAATATCAAGAAGGACCCTGAACAACCAATGGCTTGAGTTGACTACATACTCTGAAGACAGGAACCTGGGAAGGACCTTTCTTCAGAACCTGAAAGTCATGAGAAGGATCCTAGCGGATTCCCAGACCTGGAAAAGGACAAAAAAGGAAAGAATAAGACTTGCCAGAAT